GAAGGAAGGAAGGAAGGAAGGAAGGAAGGAAGGAAGGAAGGAAGGAAGGAAGGAAAGGAATCAGGCAGGAAAAAACTAAAACTCGGAAGTACCTGGGAAGAAGGAAAAAAGCAGAAAAAAGATGAGGAGCTATATGTCCACTTTGGGGAAAAGAAAAAAGAAAAAAATATTTTCTGTTTTCCGAAGGATGCAGGGGAGTTCATCCGATTTCCTAGAGGATAAAGTTACCGGAAACTAGCTGAGGAGATAAAGAATACAGAAATATGTGCCTGTTTGTCTACATCTACACGTGCACGAACGTGGGTGTACCCTGTCTCCCCTGCGTGTGTGAAATGCCAGAGCAGGCAGCTAAGCCCCATGACCTATATTTTAAGGACGTTATAATTATATTCTAGCTGAAATATAAAGCCGTATGTCTGTGGGCGCCGTTGAATATTCAGAAGGTTAGGTTTCTTTCAGAAAACAAAAACGCAATTCCATAAAAAAGCCAATTAATCTCGAGACAGGCCACTTTTGGAGGGGCGGTTAAGAGAACATCAGGGCAATTTATGGACATTTTCTCAGGCTTCAGGGGACCATTCTCAGGTGCCTAAAGCTGCGATCCTACATTCCCGCAAGTGGGATTAAATCCCACTGAACACGTTGGGGACTTGCTTCTGAGTGAACCCGGCTCACGTCAAATGCCCCGGTCGGAAGAACCCTGAACTTCTTCGTCTCCTTGCGAAACGGAGTAAGAATTGCGTCCCCTCAACACTTTCTGTCCATAAATTGTTCTATTTTTCAGTCTCGTCCTTCTTAAATCCTAGCAGGGTCTCTTCTGCCATCTTTCACGTCTGGAGAAAACCTTTATAAATGTCCTAATTAAAGCCCAAAAGCGCTTAACGAGTCGCGTCAGAATTGATTGCCGTTCTGCGTGCGCGCGCGTCCCACGGTTTCTTTTTCATGCTATTTACAGTATTTGTCAGTGACCCACGGAGCTGTTCTGATCTCTCTCTCTCTCTCTCTCTCTCTCTCTCTCTCTCTCTCTCTCTCATTAATTTGTCTCCTTTTCTCACCTTTGACGTTAAAAACATGGCATACATGTCTTGGAAACTCCGTTACAGGAGGAACGTTTAACTTGCTCCCCGCCCTTCTCCCCCCGCCTTCTCTCCCCCCCCCCTTTCATGACTTTATTGTACCGATTCTTGCCAGATTAGAAAAACGATTTCAACATTTGGTACGCCAGGGACAGTCACCTGCGGGGCGGCGTGGACGACCGAGGAGCGGAGAGGCGATCAAACTCGTAGGAAAGACGCCAACATCTGCCGGAATGGCTAAATCAAGAGATGGAGGTGGGGAGAAGTGAGAGAGGAAAGTAAAGGAATGAACCAGATCTTTATTACCAAGAAACAAAAACAAACAAAAAAAGAGCAAATTACCACGGAGTGAACTTAGTAGTAAATCATCATCAATTTCCTTCCACGTTCTCTTCCCCCGCTAACACTGATTTTGATTTCCAGTAAGGGGATTATCATATTGGTATTACAATAATAATAATAATAAGAGCGCGTGATTGTTATTATTTTAAGCCCCGATTCCGGGGCAGGGCTGAAGCTTGGCAAACCGGCGACCCGATTGGCGAGGGCTTGCGCCAGATTTGAAAGCACTCAAATAAAAGGCGCGACGTCATGAAGGCGAAGGCGGCGAAGGCGGCGCGGGCGGGGGAGGAAGAGTCAGAGTCAGAGTCAGAGCGAGCCAGCCGGCCGGCCTTAAAAGAGAGGGGCGGGGCCTAAGGGAGCGACTCCGGCTGTCAATCAAAGGCGGGGAGTTCCACGAAGTCCCCAGCAATTCTGTACGGACCTGACCTGCAGTCCGTCCAGATCAATAAGAAAAGTGAAGGGAGAAACAGCTTGACGCGGCGGCCGCCGGAGGAAGAGCCGCAAAAGGTGGAAGAAGAGGAA